GTGTAAGACTAGAGTCGAACTGATGGGCAAGCTTATTGTCTCGTTGAAAAAGGATGGCGAATTGCGGTGGTGTACATTTCAACGCAGAAAAGACGTGAACGAGGAGAAGGGTTGTAAAGCTCTTTAAAAATCAGTCCAGACCCTTCCAAAATATAATCATCATATTATTAATGCTTGACCGAAAAAAGATCGGAAAGAATTCTTTAAAGCTCGGTTACAATCACTTTTGAGGTTCAAAAATTCATTCCAGATCGATGTGTACAAAATGTGATATAATGTATTCACATTCTAATACTTTTGATCATAGTAGTCGTTTTCTATGAATGGCTAGATAACATGAGCACCTTTTTGATACCTCCGTCAGGCCTTCTCTCCATTGGCATTGGAGTCTCTGATGCACGCTAAGGCCCTCGGTCTGCGTGCTCTCTTTACGGACCACTCACTGTTCGGGTTTGCTGATCTCTCCTCCATCCTCGCCAACCGTGCGCTTTTTATGTTCCTAAACGTGGTGGATAACTTTATATGTGTCTCCCATGTGGCCAAAGAGAACACTGTACTGCGTGGTGGCATGGAACCAGAACGTGTTTACGTCATTCCCAACGCCATTGACCCCTGTGCTTTCACTCCTGATCCTGCCCGCCGTGATCCAAATAATAGTGAGTAGAATAGTTAATTAAATTGCGCTGACTGACACATCTGACCTACCGGTTGGCTCATTTGAAGTGGGTAAAGCAGAATTCGAGCATTCAAGTTCAGCTATTTGGTTGGTTAAGCCCTGCATTGAGTGGTTGTTCGAAGAAGTTAAACAAATAGACAGACTTCATGCAACTACCTTACTTATGCCAAATTTGGCTAGTGACTAAAGGCAGTCTAATTGTTTTAAAGGCGTACCGGTGTGGCATTACTTATTCTAAAGCCGGCTCCGATTTGACTACAAAAATTGGTACCTCTTCTACTGCCATTAGCGAATTGCCCTTATAGTTGATTGTATAGAGTGGCAAAAAAAGTCGAAAGAGTTTTTGTCTACCACTAAGGAGCAGTTGATGCAGTGTGATTCGAGCTGGATTTAATTTCCGCAAGTGGTTAGTGTCTGAAATTGGATTTTTGGATGCAATGGCCTTCCGGTAATCGTTCCCATTGCTCACTAACATCAGACGACAAAAAAGTTGGTGCTGTTTTCAGTATGGGTGCCTGAAATCGATAGGAGCTTTTCAAATGCCTGCGATTACTATTTCTTTTTCGTGCATTCTTATTGTAGAGCATGAATAGGCGTCAATAAGTTATGTTGTTTTCCCTTTTTTACTTTCTCGTATATCAAATGCCGGTCGAAGCTAAGGAATGTGATTCCAGCTTATCTATTTCACGAACCGGAAAGGTGCGGTATGTAGAAGCGGAACACACCGTCTAGAAGGAAACTTTTGCAACGAATAGTCTTGTTGTGATGATGAATCTACTATCTGAAGATAGTAGATGCATCGCACTGAGGGACACCCATCTTTAAATCAAGGGGGCGTCAGTGACCGCAAAGGAAAAGTTGTTAAGCGAACGGATGCCACATGGTATGTGGATGTTATGAAACGCTCGTATATCGTTTGAGGAATTGCCATGGGAGATGGCTTTTGTGTTGCAGTGGTTGTTGAGAGAACGCGCACGTCGTTGGGTATCCCCAAACCATCAGCTCATTACACGCCTCTGAGATAATCAGGACATCATCTCCAAAGACGCGTTTTTGCATACATATGTGTGTGGTTGTTTTGGACTGCAGGCGAGGTACTCACGGGAGACCGAACACTGAGTTGACATCCATTCTCTCGGTGCTACACTGTGCAACACAATACGACCCGTATGTGTACAAAAAAATCTTTTTTTCCAACAATCAGCACCAGTGAATCGGTGGGAAGAAGCCGGTCCTAATCTTGTTCTTACAGGACGACTCAATGCAACACAAAGCCTGCTTCTGGAAAGACCTCGTACCGTCTCATCTTTAGTCTCATCACACAAACTACCCCAATGACATTTTTCGAAGTGCTAATCCTTACTTGGTTTTGATACAGACGTTAGATAATCGAATTGGACGATTAGGCATCAAAGGTGTAGTGGAATCGGAGGTAGTTGAGACGTTATGAAAAGCTCGTATCGCCTTGACGTTTTGGCTTTGCATAACCTCTGATGCAATTATTGGAAAATCTTCCGATGCCATTGTAGTGTAAGATCATGCCTAAATTGCCAATATTTTAACTCAAGCTCCGTTTTGTTATAGACTTGTGTTTATGTGCGTGAGCTTGGGTCTTGCCGAGATTCCAGGTGGAGTAATCAACTGCTAAGACCTCGGGAACCCGATCTCCTTAATGTTGATAATGTGACTGCACGTACGTACGTGCCCGCTGTCCGAAGTACTGCAGTTCCAAGATCTTCGCCATTCACATGAATTTATAGCACCTTGAACGACCCTGACGTTGCCGTAGTTATTGATTCATGCAGACTTTGTCTCACCCCCATATTAGTCAATGAGGCGGAATTAACGCGAGTGTAAGCATTGGGCGCTATTTCAGAATGTCAGGGTCAATCATTATCCTATTGGGACTTCTGGAACATTAAACTAGGAATGTTTATCTGGGGTCGTTGATGTTTCTAACATCTTCCATTCAATGAACCACTTTCGACTTCTTTCCCTTGTCTTTAGTCACCGTCGTCGTCGTCAGTCGATTGGTTTACAGAAAAGGTGCAGACCTATTGGCTGCCATAATTCCACCGTTGTGCTCCACTTTTCCTAAGCTTCGGTTTATTATTGGTGAGTTGTGACAAAAGTCTACCACCCCCTTGATGAATTGGCATTTGACATTATTGACAAGTCCGCTTGTTTCACAATTCGAAGTCCTTGAAACGTTCTTCATTATGGTGCATTCATTTATTTTGTGGTTTAATATAAATAGAAATTCTGCGTTAAAAGCAAGGTACGTTGAATGAATAAGTGGAAGCGCTATGATTGGCCTTGCACGCCTTTTCCTTTAGGTGGCGACGGTCCAAAACGATTAGCACTGGAGGAGATGCGAGAGCGGCACAATTTGCACTTTCGTGTGGAGATACTGGGCGCCTTGCCAAATCATAAAGTTCGTGATGTGAGTGGCCTACCTCATGAACCTAATCGCCTCTTTCATCAGGTTGTTTATCGCCTAACACTTCATTTCACAGGTTCTTGTTCGCGGTGACATCTTCCTCAATGTCTCCCTCACAGAGTCCTTTTGCATTGCCATTGTAGAGGCTGCAAGCTGCGGGTAAGTCTTTAGCATAGTGATGATTTTCTCATCGTTCTGTAGGCTCCTTGTAGTGAGTACGAAAGTAGGCGGTGTGCCTGAGGTGCTGCCTCCACACATGATCCGATTGTCTCCGGTCAGTGCTTCAGGATTAGCCTCTACACTGGCCAATGCGATCGAGGAGATTCGTCAGCAGCGCCTGCAATGGTCGCAGGAGATTTCTCTAACTCGGTCGGTGTCTGTTGCGTCTCAGGCAAGTAATGTGGGCTCTAAATAAGTTATCACCAAAACGGAGGCCACGAGCGTTATATTTGTTCTAAATCATGACCGCGTTGCCCACATTTGTTTAAAGCTTCTCCCAGTTGTCATTTATAATTGCCACCTCTCACAAGGTGGAAAACGGAAAAGGTGTCCTGTTTGGTTGTTGCATTGCATCCTTTCGTTGAATTCCCTCCAAAAGTTTTGAATCTGCAAGCAAGCAGACTTATCCTTGGGTACCTCCGATTCTGCTACATTTTTTCGTTTCTCAACTGTCGGGTCACTTTCGCATGTCATCATGCTATCATCCAATGCATGTGTCAAAAAGAAGCGAGAATCATCGCTTTGAGAGATCTCCTCAAGTACATTCTTTGGATGAGGATGAAGACAAATTGGTGTAAGGTATTTTCAGACCCTCATAGTACTAACTTGCCCCTTCCATTGATGCAGTGTAGACTAATTCGTCCAGATGAAATGCCTTTCCTCCACTGTAACGAGTCGTTGCACTTGGGCGTGAGTCATTCCTCAAGAGCTGGAGGGTGTTAGACAAATGTCACCGTGCAGTCACCAAGGTAGTCACCGAGTGA